AGTGTAGTGATAGGACAAGGGGGAATGGTTTTAAACAAAGATTGTAGACTTAGATTAGATATTAGGAAGAAATTCTTTAATATGAGGGCAATGAGGCACTGGAATAGGTTGCTCAGAGAAGCTGTGGATACCCCATTCCTGGAGGTGCTCAAGGCCATGTTGGATGGGGCTTTGAGCAACCTGATTTAGTGGGAGGTGTTCCTGCCTATTTCAGGGGGGTTGGAACCAGGTGATCTTTAAGGTCCCTTCCAACCCAAACTCTTCTATGATCTGACAACAGATCTGTTGTCAGTTGGCTCTGCTGGAAATGAGGAAGGAACTATGGAGGCAGGCATCAGTCAGGGTGGTAAAGAGGGGCGGAAGGGAAGTCAGTCCCATATATAAGGGTACAGCAACCACAACTTGCAGCTGGAAGGGGAGCCAGGAGCACAGAGAGCAGAAGTCATCTGGTGGCAGTGGCCAGGTTCAGCCAACAGCCCTGAGCCACAGATGCCCCTGAGTGATGAGGTAGGTCTGAGGTTAAGATGGGAACTGAAGTCAGCAACAGGCCCCTGACCCCAGCACGCATGGTCAAGCACAGCCCAGTGGCCTACAGATGAGTCCATGGTGAGGAGTCAGGCCTGAATTTCATCTGCAAAGTCTGGCCTGCTGGTGAGGGTAAAGGTCTGGGTCAGCTCATGCTGGACTAAGGACAACATCTGAGAATATCACCATGCCATCCAGAATGAAGGTGGAGGGAGAGTCCCCGCTGTGGCTTCACCACAAATCATCTCAAAGCAGCTCTCCTCATGGCCAGGTGCCTGCACCTATCAACTATGTTGGCCCTGAGCCCAGGGTCATGACATCAAGAACGGCTGGAAATGGTAATAACTAAGAGACTTTGACCTCAATAGCTTTGAAATGCAAAGCAGGCACTTCTCCCCTCCTTCTTTCTAGTATTTCATAACCTATGGAAATATAAGAGAGTTTCAGATTCTTACGTTCATGTAATTGAAACCTACTAAGTATGACAAAAGATTTTTTGTAATATTATTTAAAGCTACAGCAAAATACATTTAAATGTCTCTGGAAATCATAGTCAAAGGTGTGTGGGGGTCCACCTCACTAGTTCTTCCACTCTCTCATTGCTCACAGTGGGATGAAAACACATATGTTTATAACATACTGAAGTATATCATATTTACATATGAAGCTTTACTTACACAGGAGAAGGTAATGACTCTTTGAAGCCAATTCCTATAACACATTATCTTTCCCTACTTTTAGAAGGGAATATTTTGGTAATTTCACATGAGAATAAATGTTGAGCTACTGCTTGCCAGGCTTCATGAATCTGCAGAGACACTAATTTGTTACACAAATATCCCTGTGTTATTTTTAGTCTTTAGATTAGGAAAAACTAGATATCAGACCTAAACTACAGCTAGACAAGCTAAAAGGGTCTGGCAACTTGAAGTGAAGCTGGGATTTGTGACTTTAAAATAACTGGGTTGGACAGGATGAAGTCTGGCAAAGCTTACTTTTGTAGCCTGATTTCCAGGACTGACTTTCACACAAAGGCAACATGAGTAGATATTTCTACTCTGAGCTTGCTCTGCCTCCTTTTTAGGCACATTCAACAGTGCAAGGAATGCTTGGACTCTGGGCTTCAACAACCGCCTGTGGCTCCCAGAGGGCTGAAGTTCAAGCACTGCAACTCGAGTTTTGAGAAAGCTGGAGACTGGCGGAGGATGCAATGCATGCAAAGATTTTGTTTTATTTCCCCTCCCCCGCCCCCCCAAGAAGTCAAGAGTGATGTCTAAGGCTGAGAGGAGTAATTATACCAACAACGATGATCCCTTTCGAACATCAGAACATGGAGCTTCATCTGCAAGGGCCTTGTATTTGAGCATGATATGGTATCAGTTTGAGCGATCTTTCAAAACAGATCAGTGGTTCTCTGAAGGCTTTGAGAGGAGTAAGAAACAATTCCTAAATGTAACCAGAATTGTTACACTCCTTGTTGGAAAAACTGTTTCTCTAGAAGTCATCTACCTGTTCTTGGTGCCTATAATGAGACCATAATCAAAGATGTATAGAGACTTTATCTGTCAGGGCATACCAGCCTGTTGGAAGCAGGTGCTACTACTACACAGGGACAGGAGGGAGGCTCACGCCTGTAGCGCAGTGAGCAGAAGTTTCCTTGCTTACAGCATCAATAAAGACAATATAATCTGCTCAAGTATTTCAGTCTTGGAAATCCCAAAATTATTTTCTAAACATCAGAAAATAAATTCTTTAATCCTGAGCTCCAAATTTCCACCCTGGAAAGGCATTATTTTGGGGCATAATCCTGCTTTCTAACGAAAGTTACTTTGAGGGTATTTCTTTTCCACCTGGAAAGAATGTACACCCAGGAGTAGCTCTGATCTTAACTCAGGGCATGACCTTACAATATAAAAGCTTCTGCTTGTCAATATTTAATTCAACATTTACTAAATGGCAGATGGATGCCAGGCTGACCTCACTGGAAATAACCTGGCAAAGATTAAACTAGCTTCAATTTACATGGAAGGTAATACTGGAAGTAACCCTAATGTAACAATAACATTAAACTCATGCTTCATGGGATTTTTCCTAACTGATGACATACCAAACTTGCATGTGTAAATGAGAGAAAATGGTTAAAACAACACTAATGACCAACACAGTGAAAGGTGATTATTAACCACTTTTTCCTACAAAGAACTGGAAAATATTCTGCTATAGGTGATCCAAGGCAGTATTATCTAATAACTAGTAAAAACCTCTTTTAAAATATATAATATTCCTATTCTGTTTTTCCCCTTGATCTGTTAGATCTTTTATAATGAATGCAGGAACATACTGTGTATGTTATAAATGACTGAAAAGGAAAGCTCTTGCTTGTACTGAAGCCTATATACTGGGGACATTGACACTTTTAAGCTGAAAAAGCTATTAAATAAAAAAGATCAGTGTACTGGCTATTTTTGCAGACTTGTGGTTTTAGCAGCACAGGAAGATGTTATGTTTCTATGAAGGACATGCAGCCATGAAAGATATGAAATCACAGTTTTGGAGTTTTGACTCAGTGAGAAGTGGGTAATTCTCTTTTGCTAGTGAAGTATGTACATGCCTAATTGTCCTATAGAACTGGGTTTAAAACTAACCTATATTCTACTGCTTTGCCAGAGTAGGAAGTTTTTGCAGAACAGAAATCTGAGCATAAATTTGGTTTACCAATATGAGACTGAATTTGTGCATGGGGCTTGCTTGCATAGAAACCAACCACATTGTTCACAAGTGTGAACAAACATTTGCATATAGCTACAAACACTGGTTATCAAGTTTATTTATGGTAGTTACAACTCTGGTTATCATATTTATTCTGGCATTTCTGTTTCTAACTTCATAACAATGAAAAAATTCTTCTTGAACATGAAATTAAAATTTCACTGACTTTTCTCTGAATATTCACTTGGTGACCTTTCAACTTAGGCTTGTTTGTAAATATTGTCTCTCTTTTTTCTCTTCAGTTTATAACTTCAATTAAAAAAAAATCTTTGATTCTTTTTTGTGTGGTATCTAACAAAGTAATTCTTGATTTGTTTGTCCTATTTCTTGATCATGACTATGTAAATTGCCCTTGAGATGGTTTCTTTGTATTCTTGCTCAAGCTGATACAAACTTCATAAACTAATCTAAAACTAGGGAAAGCTTAGATCAAAGAAGTAGTTTTGTTTAGTCTGAAAGGATTAGTTCTAGCACAGAGTAGGCTGCTCTTAATTCTAAGATATTGGGTGCCAAGTTTAAGGATGTTTTTAGATAAACACGCTAGAGAATGTTATACAGAACTTCTTTCCTGTCCCTCAAAAGCGATGCTTTCATAATAGTCTCCTTGTAACTGAAGAAGGATGCCCATGTTAAGCTGAAGCAAATTTGATGGTAATATCTTTTGAGGACTCAATCCCTTTTTTACCTTCATTGACATTTATGCAACAGTGTCAAAAATGATCCATAGGAGCTGCCAGGTCATAACCTGAAAGACAAACCAAGCACCACATGCTCAATAATGCTAACTTGAACAAAGTTACTTCAAATCTCATCTAGAATTTGGAATTTCAGCCAACTGATATCTGTACAGCTGCCTCTCTACCTAGTGCATCTTGGATAGCTAAGTACTTGCAAGAATACAGATAATACAATTAGATTAGCTATCAGTGTCCTTGAAGAAATGCTGATGAGCCTAACTTAACATGCAATGGCTTTTCAGAGTAAGCAATATGCAGGGAAAAGGCAACATGGAGCACACTTTCTCATACCTAAGATTGTTCTTATCTCCACTTAGCTTTGTGATATGCGGAACTGACAACACAAGTAGTCAGAACTGTTACAGCCTTGTCATGACCCGTGTTTTGTTTAGTATTTAAACCAACACTGATATGAAGTTCCTCTCTATGGCACAAAGTCATAACAAGAGACAGGCTAAATCTTTTTATGAGCTACCGTGCTTTTTGTTACTGTACAGTATGTCTTGTCTCAATGTTTCAAAGCCTTGTAAAGGGGTGACTCCTGACAAGTGAGTACTACGCATTCTTACACACAAGTACTGGCCCAACACATCACTATTAAATGTCATTTATGCACATGGAATGCTGTGGGTGTTCCTGAATCAGGTCATTTGTAAACAAGTAAGAGTACATGAATGCAGGTTCTAGCCTTAGGCATTTACATTTCAAATGGCTATTGGTTCAAATGTGGGAAGTAAAGCTTTTTCACACCATGTGGCAATGGAAACAAAGACCTCTTGTATAGTATTGCAGCCATACAAGGCAGTTCATTTTCTATTGGATAAAAAAAGATTTATTGCATGAATTCCAGCCAGTGTCTTACTTTTTATTATTATTATTATTGTTAATTATTTATTAGTTCTGAAAAGGTATAAAAAAGTTAAAGCTGGCACAATGGTTAGTTCAGTAATTCAGCTGTTCCTATTTCAGAGAAGAGAACTGCTCTAGCAATCCAAAAGTTGCTTCTGAACTGACTGAATTTCAGAAAGCATTGAGAGTGAAGAATACTTTGGAGAAGTGGTAAGTAATGCCTGGAGTTGATAGTTAGCAAATTCTCAAATTCAGCAACATTAGGGTTTGACTCAGGGAAGGAGGGATAGTTTAAACCTGATAAAAAACAATTTTTTGAAATTTGTCAACAAATATTTTTCTGTGTTTGTCAAATACTCAGTAGAGGAGATAAGATTGTAAATTCTGTGAAATACTGAAATCCAGATAGAGAAATACATCACCTTGTAAACACTCTAGTACTAACACTGCAGATATTGTTAAAAAAAAAAAAAAAAGACAAATTATAAATTTTGTAACACTGTATCAATTCATTACTTAAGAGAACAGGTGTTTCTGAAAGCTGAGGTGTCTACAGTATCTGTGGTGGAGGAGAGCTCTAATTAAATAATTTGGTACTATAGGAATGCTCTGTGATGTATTGAAGTCATACCATACCAGACTCCAGCAATGGTACATTAATATTGGAACTATTTGATATTTTACACAAATAGTATGAGAAGCATTGACTTGCATGGTCTCATTTGCACAGGAATAGATCTGTTTTAACAACACTATTTGCAGGGTAAATAATACCTTCTGTTATTAATGAAATTTCTTAACACCTTTTTTAATCAGATAGTTGTCACTTACAAAAATCTAATACATAAATTGTTCCTGCTTTATATTTGATCTTTACATTGGATGTTGTAATTAATCAATCTTTTCAATAATCAGTTGTGGGTTTATTTTGTATGAGTATGTATGCACAATTTATAGTATCAGAGGAACACACTTCATTGAAGTACATGCTCTAGACTAGTGACGGAAACACCCAGCTGGAAGAACAGCTTAAGTCCTTTCCCTTGCAAGGATGACTCCTTTTTTCTGCAAGGTGCAAGTGTTCAGCTGTAGAAAATTTTGGCTGTAAATTGCATGGAAAAAGGTAGCTGCAGTAACTCTAAAGCACACAAGCTAGGGGAAGGAGTGATATTCAAACTTTGCTCCTCAATTTTCTTTTACTAGCATTTTAGGGTTGAATTAAAATAGTCTTCTGAATCACCCACCTATTTCCAGTAAAATCGATAGGGAACCTAAGTACTCAAGTTGGACAGGTGAGCAACTATGAAGAAAATTAACCCTATCCCAGCTGAAACTAGGACAACAATTTTGCCTTTCCAAATAAGAGATGAGGAAAGGAGAAAAAAGGACAGTCACTAAAAATAGATGTTTGCAAAGTGATATCTAATAGACATCATTCTACCATGATACAATGGGACTTACTGAATATATTTGGGTTATTTTTACACCAACATGCTTTCCAAAGCTTTGCAATTCACACTCTATTTCAGTGTTGTCTCTCTGAGTGCTTCTTTTTCCCATTTGTAAAAGAAATTAAACTATTCTGTGCTACACCTGAAAGAGACTTACTCTGAATGCAAATCTGTCCCCTTTGGTCCCTGAGAGGCTGTTATGGTTTATAATTACAGTAAATTTTTTCATCTCTAAGCTGCTTTTCTGATTTCCATATTTTCTCTGTGAATGTTACTACTACAGTGTTGACACAGACATAATCTTTTAATAGAGGTAATATATTTTGTGCTTGTGAGACAGATGTGGAAGTGGCATATGCCCATCAAGAGGAATCTGTGTCACCAGAACCTTGTAAATTGCAGATGTTTGAATTCCTTGAAGCTTTGAAGCTTTCTTGTGTTGTGCCTGGTGTTCTTGAACGGGGTGCTTGGTGTCTTACTGTTAGTCCAGAGCCATCTGAACAAGATGGTAAACAGGCCCCAGCTGGCCACCACCCCAAACATACTCAAAGACTCTCAAAACTGAACGACAGTTGCTCTATTCATGGTCCTTTACCCTTCTTAGTTGGGGGACAGGTGGGGATGTCTTAATATTTTTGGATTAAACTCAGCTTTTCTGAGGTCTTCATCTCCTTAGCAATTCTGTCGTGTAACATATCAAACACAGACCCTTCAATCAGAGTTTATCTGTGCTACTCCCTTTGCATATTTGCTCTTTGTGAACAGGACAGCTTTCTGATAGCTTTTGTTTTTCCTGACTTGTAGTTAGTCAACAAATGTCAAATGTTCAATTCAAACTCAAAATAAAACCTAGATTAGAGGGAGTTTATTCACACCTCTCAGAGTTCAGTTTGCCATGTCAGCCATAATTGCTTCCTTTTTGTGAACTGTTAAGCCATCTTTGCCAAGGCTAACAAATTATAGGAGTTGGTTGGATTAAATATCCTGCTAATGAACTCAACCTATACTTTGCTAGATAAACTGCTGGACACTTAGGTAAGCAAATTGTAGTTCTGTAATGCTGAAACAGGTGTTTCAAGGCCTGACATAAATGAACTTTTCCTGATTTTTCAGTCACCTCCTGACTAACTGTACAAGTTGGGGAGCAGACGGATCTAATTTTCCATGACAGAGAATTAAAAATGAGTGAATATTTCTGGATCCACATCTTAAGTAACTTCTCTGGCACAAGCAATATGAATAGAATGACAGAATACACTTTGCCCCCATCTGTTAAAACATTTCAGTGAATGGCCACTGACAGCAGCAGGTCAAACCCCAGACTTTCATTTTCTCAAGCTAAATATTGCTTAATTTCTTGCCTAATGTTCAATAGATTTTGTAAGACACTAAAGTCAGATCTTGTTTCTACTTGCTCGGATCCTGTGTCTCTTCCCTGCATGCAAGTCAATGAGAATCCAGAAGCAATATTGGCAAATCCATGAAGGATTTCCATGATTTATACTCTCTTTCCAGTCTAGATTTCTTACTTTGTGTCACATTGAATGTCTGTCACAGATAGGGTAACATTCCTTTCTATACAGTCAATTGGATCTGTTTAAAAAGTAGTGAAACTAGAGTTACCTAAAATACAGGAAGGATTGTTTGATCTGAACTCTTCCACAGATGGTGCACCATTGGTACTGTTGGCTTTCCAGACAAGCCAGAAGTATTATTAAAGTGTTTCAGAGACTGCCCAAAGAACAAGAAGATTCAGCCATATTAAAAAAAATGTGGTGATGAAAAGGAGACATAAGTTATCTGTCCTTGCTAGTGGCGTAGCTGTGAGGTTGAGTGATTTCTCTTTAGACGCTTGTAAAACTGATAGTTTGTGTCTGAGTTTGTGCTGTTTCTGTTTCAGTGCTATGCCCCATATACTCTTCATCCTGTAAGCTCTTAAATTCCAGTTTGATGATGCTCTGTTGGTGCTGTCAGAAGTGCATCACCTATATTTCGTTAATTTAATTATCTGCCTTAAGTATGAAAAAATGCATGGTGTATGGGTGCTGTAGTAAGGAATTCTGACAGATTATTTTTGGTATGCTTGTTAAATGTGGCATGGGACAGGTGAAATGTCTGATAGTGAGACTAAGTGTATCTCTTATAAGCATTTGCCTCGAAATCGCTTTTTTTTTTTTTTTTTTTTTTTAAGAGTAATTTACCAGGGATTGATGAAGACCTTTTGCAGTGAAAGGAAAAATGTTGTGTTCAAGTTTTCAGTGCTGTCTGCTCTAGGAGATGGACAGGGAAGATGGTAATTTTTGTGGGTTTAATGATTATAAGATCCCAGCACTTTTCTAGGTCCTCTTCCTTTAGGGCTCAGCCTGATTTCTTGTAAGCATCTGAAATAATGGCCTCGGTACTGTCAATGGTATTTCTTCTATCAGACATGATTTCTTCTGAGAAAATATCTTGTACGTTTGAAGGCTTGAGCACAATTCTGCTCCAACCTGCTGTTTCACTAAATTGACTGTTAGTCCCTGTGTATCATAGCTCACTTTAGACAGGAATCTAAAAGACACCTTGCATTCAAGACTAGATCTATCATTACCATTTATATTATCATTTTACCTTAAGCAAAGCAAGCAAATATCTTGAAATGTGCTGTCCTCAAGATGTTGACACAGAAGAACCCAGTAATCCATATTCCAGATGAACTGAACAGCTTGAAAAACTGCCCAAGATCATACAATGAAGCACAGTATAAATAACAGTTAATCCACTCTCCCTGAAACCCCAGAAACCAGTTTAGTTTCTTAAGAAGTGATAATTAAAATGTCGTTTAACACTATTAAAGTACGCATCTTGACAATCAGGCAGGAACTTTCTTGCAAGAGCAGTAAATAAGTGGACCCTTCCTTTGCAAATGTGTTCATGCAATGGCCCAGCTAATGTAAGGGGGCAACATAATCATTAAAATCACATCAATTAAACCAAATGTCCTGGCTGCAACACAGCCACAGTAATGTAGTTCCAGCTGACTATCTAAATTCTAAATTGCAGTTCCAGTGAGTCTGTTGCTCACATGCTAACAGAGAGAGGACATTCTCTCTGAAAATGAGAAGAGAAGAGCCGTCTTCTCTGAGAAGATCCTGATACCATATTTTTTTTCCTTTTATGCTTTAGTTGTGGAAGGAACTGCTGCAAAGTTCATGTAGCCCTCTGAGTAGATGACTTATGCATAGTTAACATGTATTTTTAGTTGCTTTTTATTGCATTCAATTTGGTGCAGCTGTGCCTTCATGAACAAAGGTTAGATTTTTGAATCGAGTAGCTAGACTTACAAGCTTTTAAAGTCCTTCATGGGTCAGATTTCTGATTATATTAAAAATAAACAAATAAATAAATAATAGTCTCAGCTGAATGCTGCCACAACTTTCCCTCTTTTCCTCCTCAGCTATTAACTAACAAGGTGACAGGATGGAGAACAAGCAACAAAGCAACGGTGAGATGAAAGAAAAAGTGCTGAAGAAAAAATTGGTAAGTGAATTCCTCAAATCTTCTGCCAATCTATGTGTTTGTCATTTGGGGAGTGCAGACAGAAAATAAACATGTGGAACCTATGTGAATACTTGCAGGCACAGGCTCAGTTTCATATACACAGGAACGTTGCTCTTTCCCTTCTCCCTTTGGTACTGGGACAGCTAATAGTCTCACTGTGCATCTGCACCGCAGGCCTCCAATTTTTTCCCATGCTTCTCCTTATATGAATGTCTAGTTTTGAACGAGCCAATAAACTGTTTAGGCAAACCATTCCAGAATTAAGTGACTTTTGAATAGGTTGAAAACTTCCTTTTCTGGGAGGGACTTGGTCATTGAGGGCAATGGTAACACTCCAGAAGAGTTTGTGTGCCTTCACACAAAAAGTCTGGAACGATGTATTCTGCAGAAAAAGAGCTTTGGTTTTGTCTCTGACACAAGAACCCTTGCATCTGTGTGTTCTTCTCCCTTTTCCCTCTCCACTCTAACTTGTAAGAGGTGAGCAAACTGACACTCGTCTCCATGGAGATTTGAAGGAAAGCTGCCAGGACTAAAATTTAAGGGGTGCAGAGAGTAGTATCATTAGTTTCTGTAACTCTTATTAATGGTGATTGTAAAATGTCAAAAAACATAAGCATGGTAAAGTGAGAAACTATGTCTGTATTAAGCACATGCAGCCATATTATTTGTATTTGAGTATCAACTGCTGTGAACTACTTGCATTGTATTATTTTAAATGAAATTAAATAAAACACAGGTGTCCGATTCTTCTCAAATGCACTCCACATATTTTAGAAGCTTGATTCTCCTAACCTGACTCTTTAAGTGCTTGTGACCATTCAAAGAAATTATAAATGATGTCTGGATCATCTATCTATGCTGATGTTTCTCAATCTGAACAGTAATTTTACATGTTAACGAGTAGCATCTGGATTTCTATTCAAAGGTTGCTTAGCTTGATGTGTGCCAAGGACAATTCAAAGTTTCTGCACCATGAACTGCTTTCAAACCTGCAGTGCTTTACGGCATTACTTATGTGTCTTTGAGGACTCTAAGGTAGTGGTGAGGTATGTAGCATGTCAGAAGTGGAAGCAGCAGAGATTTACACCAATATGAACTGCAGACGTCTGGGAATAGTTCCCAGATGCACTTAGTACTCATCTGAGACACATCCATTGCCAAATGGAAGGTGCAGTTTAACTCTTAGCAGTTCAAAATCCTCAGGCTTTACAAATAGGCACCTTCAAAACTAATAGCTGGAAGCGTTTATCTTCCTCGCGCAACACGTCTAATCACCACCTGCTGCACAGCAGCAGTGCCGTGTGTCAGATCTGAACCTCCTAAGGCTGTGCGAACGTCCCTGTGCCGTGTGGTTTTACATCTTAATTAGTTACAAGGCTTGCGGTAGCTTCACTTTCCAGCTTCGGTGACGAAGGGAAGCTCTTCCCCTCCTTTCTCCAGCGCCGTGTATACAGCAGGGCAGCCCAGATGGCACCGGGCAGACCCCACGCCGGGTTTAATTTGCTTAAGTTATGGACGTGCCCGCTTATAAACGGGCTCGGGCAGCTCCAGCCCCTCAGCCGCGCACTGCGGGCAGAGCAGTTCTGACCCCCGGCGGTCCCCGGAGCTCCAGGCTCGGCCCCCCCGGGTTCTCTCCCCTAGGGTCCCTCCTCCGGCTCTGCGCGGCTACGGCCGCGCCCCCGCTGCGCGCTGCCCGGCGGAGATGCGCGGCCGCTGCGCGCCTACGGCATGGACCCGGCGGCGGCGCCCGAGGAGGACACGCTGGTGGCCCCGGCAGCGGGGAAGGGTCCCCGCCGGGCAGGGAAGGGCGTAAGTAGCGTTGAGAGGCGCGGAGGGCTCGCGCGTATCCCGCAGCTTTGCAGGTGGAGCGGAGCCGGTGCGCGGCCGCTGGGAATCCGGCGTCACTCCGCTTTGCTTCCCCCAGAAGGGAGGAAGGGCTCAGGTTGCAGAGCCTGAGGCTTTTTCCCCTCTCGGAAAGTTGCTGCTGGTGTAGAGGAGAGGCCGACGGGGTTAGGCTGAGCTAAAAATATAATGCGGCTGCCCCGGCCGGGACGCGGAGGACGGGAGGAGGGCAGCGGCTGGGGCCGCAGGGGACACCCCACGGGCAGGGGACACCCCACGGGTGGGCGAGCGGCAGGTGCCGGGGGCTGCTTTCCCACCAGCAAGGCGAGTTCACGGGCTAACCACCCCCCCTCCCCCTCCCCGAATCAGCAAGTCCTAAGGGCAAGGAGAAAGGCGAGGAGGGAAGCCCAGGGGTTCCCCCTCCTGCCCGGCGGCGCAGGAAGGTATCGCAAGCCGTGGAGCGCGGTGCGGTGCCAGCACGCACCTGCCGGCAGCCACCCGGCTGGGCACGGCTGCTCTCAGCCTCCAGGACCGCTCCGGTGCTCGGCGCTTCCCTAAAACTGCCTCTCGGGAAGCCTACGACGCGAAAGGTGCGCAGAAGTCCTGGTTCAGCAGGCAGTCAGAACGGTACCTGTTGCAGAATCCTAAAAGTTTCTTCTGGACGTTTGTAGTTTCCAGCTTACAACCGTGATTAATCTATAGCCAACTAACCAGAATACAATAGCCCAAATTGTGCTTTGAAAACATAAATGCAAACCAATATGCGTTTAAAACAAAGGCAACCTAAGGTGCACAGCGTGCAAATATTACACTGCATGCTGGACAAAAGAGGTGTGTTGGTAAAAGCATTTTGGAACCTCTCGGAACACTGTGCCCTGGTAAGAGCAACAAAAGGACTTTCACAAACAAGCAGCTGACAAGAGGCTGGATGTCTTTGCTGGGATCTGACAGACAGCTTTCCTCACTGCACGTTTATTGCTCTGGTGACAGCAGCAACAGATGAGTGCACTCACAGTGTTAAACGACTACCTCTGAGGAGGTGCGGTTGCAGTCTTGTTTCACAGTCATTGTAAAACAGGTTGCTGAGTTTGTTGCTTTTTTTTTTTTTTTTTAATGTTTCCACAGGGTTAATATTTTTCTGAGCAACCATTTATTTTTTTTCTCCTCCCCTTCTTGCTTCATTACGCTTTCATCTCTTATCTGGTGTTGCTGAAACTTGAGCAAATATTTAAAATAGCGTGTGAGAAGACAGGTCATGGAGAAGTTGAAGTGCACGTTCCAAGAACGGTAAAACTTCAGGGGAAATCTGAGGCTTTGTGTGCTTTCTGCAGTAGACTACATACTTGAAAAATTCTTGGTACAGAAGTAGTCTCTAAACGTTGCTATTCACAACACTTGAAAATAAAGTGGATGTGAGGTTTTCTAATTTGACAGCACTTTTGTGATTTGTACTGTATTATTTTCCACTTAACCCTATGTACATATAATTTGCCTGTGCTGAAAGTTTCAAACATTCACTGGACTTTTTAATAAACACTAGGATATATGGTCCAAATCATCTTGTCTGCAGGGCTTTTCCCAGGGTTTTAATGCTACTGAAGCAGATGCCCTTAGCAATATTACATCAAGATTACCATACAGCACACGTGAATGTGCACTTATCATTTGTGACCCCTTTGGGAGCAATCTGGTAGCTCTCCAGGAATATTCTATTCAGTGCCATTAGTTCAGGGTAGTAGTGATTCCTATAAGCATAGGAATGGTTGTTCATAGTAGAGAAATAACAGGCACCTAAGATGAGGTGTTCTGAACACCTAAATAAAGCTTTATGCCAAAGTTTCTACATTTTTCTTATCAAAGTAATGGTACAAAGCTTTGTGTGTGTGTGGCAGGTTCATTTTAAGCAGCTGGCTAATAATAAGAAATTGTATTTGGCTTATTTAACAATCTCAATGGGATATATTCCTTACACGAGGCTTTCCTCCCCCCATATGCTTTCTTCTGACCTGACTGAAAATAGGGCAGTCAATGAACTGTGTAATCTCTTAAAAACTTACCACATCATGTGGAAGAAGTTAAAACATCTAAGCTGTCCCACAGTGCACATTTTAAGCCCTTGGGAAGTGCAGCTGTGTAGCATGACAGACCCCACGCACACCAAGCTGCCAAGTTGGGCACTCAGTCTCTGCTCCCGATGTGTGGATATCTCATCACTTCTCCATGATCCAAAGTGAGATTGCAGTGACATGGTGGCAATGCAAGCTCTGGCGCATGCCAACTGCCAAGCTGCATTCACTTTCCTTACCATGTTTGTCCTGGGGCTGGTAGAGCTCGTTCCTGTGTATCATCACCTCTGTTATGCTATGTGCTACCTACACAAAAGTAGCTCATGCTTCAGATCTTCATTTTCCAAAGCAAACACAAGTCTTTGTGCAGTTGACAAACATGTATAGATTCATTAAGCTGTTGTGTCCGCTTGAAGGGATGTAGGGGAAGCTGTGTTTATTAGGCCTGCTTAATCAGGTGTTTCTCCTTTTGAAAAGATTCAGACTTCAGCAAGCAATCAGACTGGCCATAAAACAATAGTCAATGATACCTGAAAATATGGATTCTTAGTGGAGTCCTTAAAAAACAAAACAAAACAAACAAACAAAAAAAACAACAGTTGGGATGGCAGGGGTGGAAGGAGGAAAGTCAGAAAGGGAAGTCAGAAAGGGAGAGTTTCTGGAGGAAGACAGCAGATGGCATCTCTGCCAGCATTTTTGTGTGGCAGCAAGTTGCTGCTGGAAACTTACATTTGGGTTATAAAATTTAGTTTATAGGCATCATTTCAATTTTTTGTCAAATTTTCACCAATGCTTCTGCTCACAGGAGCGGGTGGACATTGCTCCTAAGTTGGCTCTACCTAAAGCCCTGTTGTATCAAATGTATGCTACCACATGCTTCATTGTTTTAACTGTATGTTGCCAAAGAGTTTCCTTTGCTGAGTGTATGCCTCTGTAACATTTAGCTTTTTTGGTGTTGGGGACGGATGGGATGCTTGAAGCAAAATCCATGGGGTTGAAAGAAGTTTAAAAGTTCACTTATGCCTTGGTAAATGTTACCTGAGATGCTGTCACTTCAAATTTACTGCTTCTAGGATTGCAGAAATAGAAAGTGTTTCAGGCCACATCTCCTTCTGTAGCAAGGAGATGTGCCTGCAGGAGCTATGCAAGACAGAGTGAGGAATGTTTAAAACCTGAGCTATTTCATGTATACTAACAATGGCTACGTTTTTTCATTGTTTTTCAGAATTGGTCTGGAAGTCTGATTGTAGCCTCTTTAACTGGTGCTTTTGGATCATCTTTTCTTTATGGTTACAATCTCTCTGTCGTGAATGCCCCTGCAGTGGTAAGTGACTGACAAAACTGGCATTTACTAGCAGTAGAGGGCAGCCTTGTCCATCTAGTGTGTGCTCTTTAATATCTTGCTTTTGTAATCCTGCCAGTGTGTTAGAAGAGGTAGAACTTTGCTTGAAAAGTTTTCTGCTATCTGTGAAGTTTCCAACTAGGTTCAGTAGCTGTCAGGAAACTAAGTGCTCCTGTTGAGGTGAGTGGGTGCACAACATTTCTTTTTCATTCTCCCAAAGCCAGAATAATGCTAAATCTTTTTCCACACTTTTGTGTTATAAGGTATTTTTAATAGCCTGTCTTTCTGGCTAGTGGCTATTTGCTAGTTACAGGTGCACATTCAACAAATCCTGTTCACATTATTCAGTTCTGGAGGTTGACATGGTATTTCATTACCACAGTACAGATAATGTAAATAATGTCTCTGGCTGCCTCTTAAATAATGGGCCTCTTCTGCATTTTGTGGTGATGCCTTGTTTGTTTCTGATTTTGGATCTGCTGTGTTGACCATCTGTTGACTGCAACATGTGGAATGTGTCTGATGAAAAGAGCATTGTAAAATCAGTGTACAGTATCTGAGGGATTTCATTAAAATATCAGCCATCACAAATGGAAATATGAATGTTTTGGTTTTATATTGGTGGTCTACAGCACCCTTTAATTCAATCAAACATGGAAATAACCAATTCAGTGCAGTTGTAAGCAACACACACACACACAAAAATACGTAGTAAAATTTTTCAGCTAGCTGTCAAAAGTCCTTTTTTTTATTTTTTTTTTTAGTTTGCAGTTTGTATTTGCATTGTCTTTGGTCTTTGATAAACTGATAACCCAAAGAATTAGAAACAGACTCACCTTGTTTTAATTGTCCCTTGTAGCTTCTGTGAATTTTCTCGAAGTTCCTGGTACCTTCTGTACTGGTAACACAGGTTTAGACAGATTAGATGTTTATTCTAGCATGGCATGTCTGTGCATCACTTCAGCTTGCAATCTTCAGAAAATAAACATGACTTAACAGAATCGGTGGGGAGCTGAAATGCTGTGAACAATGGTATTGATTGTACTGACGATAGACATCTCTCCTGCACTGAGTCAGTACTGTCAAAGGAGCAGTGTGAATTATCTGACTTCAGAACTTTTAAGTGCCCTTTACAAAATGGACCATCTTGGTAATCAGAGCTCTTCTATCACTTTCTGCAGAAGTAAAAGAAAGAAAGGGCAATCATAAGTGCTGTCTGGCAACATTCAGAGGGTTAGATTAGAACCATGTAATAGATTGCAGTGGTCACCAGACAAGAGTAGAGGTGGGAAGGTTGAAGTTGCAATCATACCATGAAGAATGCTAAATTCCAGGCATTGTGGTTAGTAGCACTGTCAGGTTTGTCTATTTTTGCTTGAAATCTTTACTGTGGTTTTTGGACAGAAAGTTGGCACCATGTTGGTGGCTCTTGTTGATGATCTTGATGATGTAGTGTTGACAGTTATGTATGAAGTCTGCCCTTTTCCAGTGTCGTATTGCTGTGTTCGGTTGAGAACATAGTGTCCTCCTTACTCACGCTAAGCCATATATCATGTAGGTCTAAAGAGTAGTCCTAGTTATACACCCTACTGAAAAGACAGACATGGCTGTGTGGTTCAAGAGCAAAATACCAGTGTGGCAAAAAAACAGAGAACTAGACGGTCCTCTCTCTAGCCCCAGAATCAGGCTCTGTCATCTATTTTCCTAGGACAGGACACCTCCCTGTCTTTGTCACACACTGTCCAGGGTGAAGAGGAGAGTCTGTGCTCTGTTTTTAGCCATGGTGAGGAGAAATGAGCTGTACTAGTGCTGTGCTTCCTGCAGCACAAGAAAAGGAACCTTTGCCCTATCTGTTTTCCCCTTGTGTGGCCATGCATCACCAAATCAGTCTGCTATGAGGTGATCCTTTAGGAACACTGATGTGTGCTAATTGAGGAAAATATAAGGGAAACAGCTTTTACCTGTAGATAAGCAGTACTCTTAAAAGAGACTATATTTGGGTGCAGTATCTCCTAAAAGTTGTAAGCTTTGATTTTTAAACTTGGTAGGTCAAATAACTTGTTCTGGTCATATGCAGCTTACAGCTTGCATTGTAGTGAGCATCTCTGTGTAGGATGTTGGGTATCTTTTGCCTCTATTTGCTTCAGTACAATTCTTTTCAATGGCTAAAGTCCCTCAGTCTTAGAGAAGGCACTGTATGATGCTTCTGGAGGTTTTTAGAAAGTGCTTGATCACGACTGTTGACTAAAATATGGGATGTTTCCAGGAAACTGGATCTGAAATGTCAGCATGATTGCTGAACTGTGTAGGGGAAGTTCATTTAAGGCTGAAGATATGAACTGTATTTGTAAATCCTTGTGTACATTACCTTTCTGTGCTGAAGTTGTGCCAGCTCATCAAACCACGGGGGAATACCCCTGCAGTTCTCAGCTGGGAACTTTACCACAAATCATCTTGTAAGGTATGCTTGGTCCAACTTCCTTTTTGTTGCAAGGCAGAGATGTAATGCACCAGATCTGCTCAGAGCAGAGTTGTCTGTACTGACTAGTGCAGAGATGGGAAAAGATCAGTTCCCACTCAGTCCCCCACCTTTCTATGGGAAAGTGCAATGGCCAGTCACAGGTGCATTTTCCCCTGCACGTGGTGTTTGACCATGTGAGAAACCCAGCATTAGAAGTCTGCACTGACTTCTATGAAGAGCTATCAGAATTTATTAAAACATGTGGGAACATTCAGCAGTAGGAAAACTAAGATTTTAATTGTCTAAATGTTGAAGCTGCTTTTTTCCAAGTGGCATTTTTAAAATGCATTCCACGGACCACTTGTGAGCAAGGTCTTCAGAACAATGATGTGCTTTGTGCTCTGAGCAGGACGTGAAATCTCATGCTGGCAGCAACACCCTTCTTGCCTTCTTCCTGCTGGAAGTTGTGTTTCTGCATTCCTTTTAGAGCTGATACTGAGAAAGTGAGACTATTACAAAAATATATAGCTGACTGTGACAGCCATTGGATAACTGTCACTAACTGTGAGTGGCCCTTGTAACTATTGGCAAATCATTTTTAATTCTCTTAAGGCTGTCTTTTCACTTCCCTTGCTCTAAGTATTTACAGTTAAAGAGACAAGAAAAATCACTCTATATATACTACCTGTCTTTCTCTTTCTCTCCCCTCAGCACCGGTGATGTCTCACTTTGAGTACTGAGTGAAATTTTGGGCTGGTGAAGACCTGTGGCTTGTTCAGCCCAGAGCAGAGCAAACTGAAGGGAGGCATCATAGTGGCCTGCAGTTCCCTCACAAGTGGAGTGAAGGGGCAGGCGCTGAGCTCGTAGAATCATAGAATATCCTGAGTTGGAAGGGACCCATAAGGGTCACTGAGTCTAACTCCTGGCCCCACAGAGGACCATCCAAAATCAGACCATGTGTCTGAGAGAGTTGTCCAAACACTTCTTGAACTATGGAAGGCTTGGTGCCACAACCTCTTCCCTTTTCTTCTCTCTGGTGACTAGCAACAGCACCTAAGGGAATGGCATGGAGCTGTGACAGGGGAGGGTCAGGCTGGGTGTTAGGAAAAGTGTCTTCACCCACTGAGAGGATAGTTGGGTATGGAACAGGCTCCCCAGGGCAGTGGTCATGGCATTGATCCTTCCAGAGTAGCTGATAACAATCACTTGTTGGAATGTTGTTGGAATGCTATCATTCCTTGCAGGCTTTGGTTAGGACCTAGAAAATTTATATACAGAGTTAGCATTATTCAGACAACTGATTGAAATCCCAAAGGAGCCTTTCCACAGAACTCAGAAGATTTATTGGATCTGATTTGTTTTGTGCTTTAGGTTTTCATTTCATGTGCAATACCTCAAACTTCTATGTGTTAATAGTTTCCCATTTGTTGGCAGTGGAAACCTAGACAAAGGTGATGTACATGTTGGCACATTTGTCTGTTATACTTGAATGCTGTAGCTTGTGCTTTCTTTTCATGAATATTTGCAGTTATTTCATGTGTCGTTATAAATAACAAAGCTGTGCTTAGAAAATTAGTTATAACACAAGGGGAAAATAATTTGCATACTATTTTTAGTCATTAGCATTAGCAAGAAATGTTAATAGTGTTCTAAAAATGTTTTGTGTTAGTATTCATTACTATCAAATACAAATTTCAAATAAACAAGAAGATATCAGAATCTAAATATATACCGAGTACAGTAGAGAGAGGATTTATTACTTGATTTAGGGGCAGATTTATTTGGTATTTCACTGTGAAATTCTGTTCATTGTGAAATGGACCAAGAACCAGTTTGACTTTTTTTTTCTCTCAAGTTTTTTTTTTTTTTTTATGTCTGTTTGTGTAGAAGCATATAAAATAAGATGGAAGAAATAAAATATCCCTTTCCTTTTAAAATTAAGTTACCATGGGAGAAAACTGTTTGTCTTCTCTATTCCTACTTAGCTGAAGATAGGAGAACCCAGATATCAGGTTTTCATTTTTTTTATGAGAAACCACTTGTCTGGCACATAGATTTATATCTGGATCATAGGTGTCTGATTTCATGTTTGATACATTTTTCAATACTGAAAAGAAATTGCTTATTTTGTTTAGCAGCCTGTACTTCATTCAAAAAGCAGTTTATGTAAATGTGAAGGGGAGAAGCTATAACTTATTTATAGAAGTGATTTGTGATTCTTAACAGTTCAAACAAAACTATCTCTTTTTGATACTATGGGCTTTTTTTTTTTTTTTTTTTTCCCCATTAGTATGAAACCAACAGCTGTCAGCTCTTGCCTCTCTCTTCTAACAGTTATTTGTCTTGGCTGTGATTTTTTGGGGGGAGAAGAGTGTTATTTTTTTATTGCTTGACTTAATAGGTCCCTGATTTTTTATGGCTTCCAGGTGCTACACTATCACAATAAAGACATAAAAGTGGATGCAGCTTCCCTTCTTATCTCAATCCATAAAACCCCATTTTTTTAGTTCACTCTATTTTTTTTTCCTAAACTTATGCTAAAGATTTTGCTATAGCATCACTCATTTTTACAATACTGCCCCTTTGGAAAAAAAAAAAAAAAAAGTAAAATGCACTTCATTTTGAGCAGATCCAAGCTCTGTAATTTAGGACTGAAATACAAAATAGAGATGATAAATGTTGTTTCACGGTGAGCACAGTGCAGACCAAAAGGATTCCTACTTATATAGCTTCTAAAGTATCATTAAAAATTTTCCAGGGAGTTTCATAAGCTAAATATGAATCAGAACAGGCCACCGAAGTAGTACAAATTCCAGGAGATAAATTGCTTCATAACTGGTCTCCATTCCTGGTTTTATTTTATAACTTAATTTTAATGTGACTTTCATGCAATATAACAGACAAATATCTTTTTGGTGTGAAGACAGAAAGCAGATTTCATGTGTTATACTCATTGGGGATTTAGAATTTGTTGCTAAAGTCAGAAAGTTTAAGTTGTTTTCCCAGGTGCTCATAAATACCGTATAGTTGCCTACTCAGCTGAGCCAAATGTCTGTCTTATTATCTATATTTCTCTCCCTGTCACTGTAGTTCTGTGTTTGAAGTATGGTCTGGGACAAGATCCTAATGCCAGAGGTGGAGATCTGCTGACTTTTGGCCATTTGGCAGCCCCAAGAGGATGGCTTTGGGGCAGACATTTCATCATGGGTAGTGAGCCTGACGTGGGCACACTGGACCCAGTACTTCACTACCCAAAACTGTCTGATACCCTTAGAGTATCACCATTTTGAACCTGTGAATAACTTATCTTCTGTATCTTTGAACAAGTATACAACAGATTTTGAAATCCTCCATGAAAGACTGTGATTCTCTGTGGTAGCTTAACACCTGGAGTATTTTCCATGTACGTGCACAGATTTCTGAAAGAAGCACAATGGCAGCAAGGCAAAAAAAGGGTCAATAAATGTGAAAACTACTGTAAAGATACTACCTCCATTGTGGTACGTGTGTAGAAATGAGTGGATAGTGTTAATTTAATTCCTCCCACTCCACACGCAAATGTGGCTCTTTTCCTTCATCCCTTCCTCCCTTCCGTCCTTCCTTCCATTTCCCCCCTCCCCAAGGTTATTATCATTACAGATCCATGAAAAAGCAGTACAATTCTTGTTGATTCACCAGCCGTACTTAGCATTTAAGCATATATATATATATGCTAGGGTGTGATGTGATACCTTGTTTACCTGAGGTTAAGGGTATGTATATGAGCAGCCAGAGGAGCTCAGCTGATGTGCAGCACCATGCTATGTGTGGGTGGTATGATTATGTGCCTGAGCTCTTATCCCAGTAAGGCTAACACAAACTGTTGCTCATGTTGTACTGGCAACCTAAATTGTAACATCCTTTCTTTAAAGAAGTTTCTCTTTTATAAGCTTCTTCTACATTAATGTCTACTGGTGTTTCCACCTTGTTTTAACTGGCATGTCATTGTATGCTGTGACTGGTTCAGTTAGTCTGTAGTACAGTTACATCTAGAGTTGAGTACACTTTTTTTAGAGGAGGGCAATAGAAATGCAAAGGTGGTCCTTGCAAACAAGCTACTGTTGTTAATTCAATTTCTGTAAGCAGCGTTCTTAAAGGGTGGTTTTTACATGTATTATTGTTATGTATTTTCTTTCAGTACATCAAGAAGTTTTACAATGAAACTTGGGAAAGAAGATATGGCTTCTCAGTGGACGAAAGCACCCTGACTCTCCTCTGGTCTATAACTGTATCTATTTTTGCCATTGGTGGCCTTGTAGGTGCCATTATTGTTACCCCAATTGTGAAGTTCTTCGGACGGTAAGTGTATTGGAAACCTTCTGGTTTCTAAAGCAGTTGCCAACCTAACTTCTCTAGAAAGCTTTACTTGTATTTTATTTTTTTAAAACTCTTTTTACCTTTACCAGAATGCAAATTAAAACATCTTCAAATTATGAAAGCTTACATCTGAGAATTGTGAATTTCAAAGAGTAAAATGAATACTCTTTTCTCTGGCCTTACTGTGCATTATTTGAATCACAGAAACCATCTGCTCTGAACTGACAGTGGGTTCAGATGTCAAGGAAGTTGAATAGACAAGAGTGCAAAAGGAAAATACCGTATAAAAGGAAGGATTTCAGAAAGGGTTGGCACCTTCTTGTTCTGCAAGTTTGCTGGGTATCTTACCCTACACAAATAAAACTATCAATTTGTCTCATTTGCTTCATTTGCTTCTCAACCAGATTTGTTGTCTTGCAGTAATAAAAATCTTTTTTTTTTTTTTTTTTTTTTTTTTTTAATCCTTATTGTCAACTTAAAATATAGTTTGAAGAAATAGACTAGGGTGAAGTTCATGTTTATTTTTCCACATGCTTGTTGTCACCTTCCCTGTTCTATGCAATGCAGCATATGACCAAATCTTGACTATAACAAATACCAGTATTTTAGAAATGTTTTTACTGGTTTGTCTGCATTTTTGCAGTAGGTAGCAACTAGATACTTCTGTCAAATTTCAATTTCATACCTTTTTCCAAAGACTTTTAAAAGTGATTTTTAATTTCCCTGTTTGGAAGGGTCTAGATAAAAAGCCACTATAATATGAATATTAACTGTTCATTTGTTTTTTTCTTAATTATAAATTCTATATCATTTGATAATCTCTGCTTGATTAAATCACCTAAGAAGGTCATCATAGAGTCTCAAACATAAGCAGTCCTCTCCATTATTTTCATTTTTTTGTATTCTACATTTGACTATTTCAATCATGCACTTCACATTGTGCTCTCCCAAGCCTGTTTGTCGTCTCTCTCAACCCCTCTGCTTAGATTTTTTTTCTTAATTGTCACTATATTTTATCCCAACTCTTCCACATCCCATTTTACACCTCAAACAATAGTTACACATTCTTCCATTTTGCGCTTACTGCAAGTCACTGCTCTCTACTTTGTAAATCTATTATCCAATTTTATTAATGTATTCTATTCCATCAATTCACCATTCGATCATCATTTGAATTTTAATTCATAAATGTTTTTTGTAGTCACTTTTTTTTTTTTTTTTAAGGTTTGCAGTTTCTTTTTTCTATTCATCAATTTGGCTTTTACATACTTATTGAATATATGAAACTCTCCCTTAGTCAGACTGTTTAATTCCTGGAATTGTCACTAAGTCTGCTCTTTTTTAAATTAATGTAGTAAAAAACAAGTTCACAGAAGACTGATTTTTGGTGAAGAGTAGAATGGTTTTGTGTGAAAGTTTGTTAAAGTGGTGATTGATGTCAGTTGTAAGAATACTGCTTTGATGGGAGTAGATTGTATTTCCAGGGCAGAGCTTTAAAGCTTGGAGGCTCTGTCCCTGTTTATTATGTTTATCCCTGTCAAACCATGAAAACAGCTTTATCATAGATATGGTATAAGAGTACTTGATTAGAGATAAGGAATGGCATCTCTCAGAGACACTGGATAAAGGCTGCTCATCAAATGTGGCTCTTGGTTTTGCTGTTCACGTTGCAGTGTGTTTGTCTGGTCTGGGAAACCAGACTGACATATCACTACAGTAACTGTAAAGCACATTATGAAATGTTGACAGAACAATGAAATATGTTGTTAAATTGTTTAAGTGTAAGTTAGAGAGCTGTGTGTATGATGAAGATGTGCTCCATTTATACTGACACAGAATAGTGTACTTATGGGGATCAAAAATATTAGTTGAAAATAATGTATGACTTTAAAAAGAGCACTCTTGATTCGTATTGTTGTAAGATTAATAACACGGTTTTCAGATTACCAGATTGCTAGGCACTACTTATTTCAAGAGAGGTTCAGGGCAAAATTTTCAAAGAGGGCCTTCATCCACATAAGCAGAAGTCCTGTGTTCAGATGTGGTTTTGACACTTTATAATTTAAATTCTCGTCTTTTAATGAAGAGTAGCTGCTGTTGCACATCCTAAACATCCTGAGAGATATGCTCAGTGAATTGCTTGAGCCACTGCTGGGGAGGAATTTGCAAAAGAGGTGTAAGGCCTTACTTCTAGCCCAGTGAATTGTTTTGAGTCTGAAGCAATTAAAGGAATTTATCTGGATTATTTTGGTAATGCTACCATTTCTTTTATTCTCAAGTTATCTGCCATAGTTAAAATAGTGATCAGTATTTGTTCTGTTACTGGACTTGACAGTTCATTATTTAAAAACCTAGCTTCCTTACTATACTTTTTGTATAAGGTATCATATTTGCTTCCTAAGGTGAGCTTCTAGAGTCTTTATTGTACTGAGTCTTTATTATATTTTGAGGAAATAATAATTTTTTGATGAAACTTAAAAATTCTATCATTTTCCTAGTTTTGAGTTTTATGCAAACAGATCATTAATTCAAATCCCTAATTAAAACTGAAATTATTGCAGCTGTGGGGGTCATAGAGTCAGTAGGATTCTGTTCTGGCCTTTGTGGAACTATACAGTATCATAAGAGCAAATTACAACTTTGAAATCACAAGATAGATGTGATTTTGGAAAAACAAACAAACAAACAAAAAAAAAAACAGTTCTAAGGAGGAGATACTCAAGATACTCAAAAATAAGCTCTGTTTGTGTCAAGTTGATGCGTAAATTGTCCAGCTCAACTGGGATGCTTATAGAAACTGTGATTTCTACTGAGCAAATTGCTCATCTCTTACAACTATTTCCAACTGAGCACAGAAGTGGAAATTATAGTCCTGCAGCAGAACAAATAGCCAACCTTAAGAGACAACCAATTTTTGGTAATAAGTTGCCATGCTTATTGTTTGGCTTAGGATATAGCTGCTTGTGAAAAACTGCTCTGTGCTCAAACAATCAAAAGTTTTTTGATTGCATCTTCCTTTTGGAATGCATAAATGCTTTATTTCTCTGGGCTAGAAAAAATCCTGAATTTGAGCAGAAGAAGGAACATTAATAGAAATATAATTCCCCATCCCCTCCTCCCCCTTCCCCAAACATATTTCCTTTTGCTCTCAACTGAAACAACCCAGGGGTCTTCACACAAAACAGTGACTGTCTGCATGCCTGTAAGTGCAGTATGTGTGTGGGGGTGTCCTCATACTTGAATCCAGGTTCCCTTTCCTAGCTCTGACATTGTTTTGAAATTTAGCTTTAGGTTGAGTCGACTCTACTCCCTATTCGCCTGTTTACAAAAATAGGGTTACTGATGTGCTCTATAATCTTCAGCAAGACTGAAATGAAATGTGCTATGTGAGAGCTAGGTATGATATTTACGTTTCATTGGGTTTCTTGTGCCATTTGACAATTGCTTGGTCAATCAATTTGTGAAAATGATTAGGCTGACCAATGCACCAGTATGTGACTTTTCTTCTGGTAGGTTAGTTTTGAAGTTTGTATGCTTACACTCTGTAAGTGTGGTAAGCAGTTATATGATGATATTGGTTGGAGTTTCCCAAGGGAAAGTGTCTGATACAGTACTCTGTGAAGTGTGGTATCATTACATCGTTTGTATTGAGTTATACAAGCAGGATATAAAAGGGTTGTTTTTGTTTTTGTTTTGTTTTCATTTTTCTTTTTCCTATGCCCTCTGTCTAGGTTAATACAGTTCTGGCCTATGTGACCAGGAAAGCATGGCTAATTTAAGATTGTAGCAATTCTGAATACAACATGACCTGATTGGAAGTAAAGCAAGGTAGCATGTGGAATCTGGAGGGTTTTTTTTGTTTGTTTTTTTTTGAGAAGTGGTTATTTATGAGAAGTGGTTATTTCTGTTCATAGATGTGCTGGGCTGGTCCCAGCTGACAGCTGAGCACCCCACTCAGCTGCTCATCACTCCCCGCAAGCTAGACAAGTTGTCGGAGAGAAACAGGAGGAACAGCAGGAGCAAGAAAACTCATGAGTCAAAAAAATAAGAAAGAGAAATCACAAATTACTGTCATGGTTGAAACAGACTCAGCTTGGGGAATTTAACTTAAATTATTGCCAGTTAGCATAAACATTTAATTACTGATCAGGTATTAGGAAAAAAAGAAGGTGAATATTGAAACACCTTTCCTCCTACTCCAGACTCCTCTACTCACCCTTGATAACCACAGGTTATACTGAGTCTCTTTGGTGAGGGGCCAGGTGGTAAAAGGGGTCAGGGTCGGTGCATAGCAGCTTCCCTCTGCCCATCCTTGCTTTTTTCCTATTCTCCAGCATGCTTCATAGAATAAGTGGTTGTTGCCAACCTTTTCTAAAAGGATGTTATATTTTTCCGTTATTTTTTTTAAGTTGTAAAAGAAGAAAGTAACAACTCCAGATGAATGTATAGCACTTGTTTGACCTGACTTATTTCCATTTTTTGACATTATTTATTATCTTTAGCCCTCTATCCATTTAGCCCTATATCCATTTGAAAAGCCTATTTCAAATAGCAAAATCAGCACTTTTCTCTTGACAGCTATGTTATACAGACATGTACTTTAAATGTGCTGTATCTCTTTCTTTGTCTGATCTCAAGCAATCTCATTCAAACAGTGTTCAAGCAGTTTTTTAATTAAAAAAAAAAAAGAAAGTTAAAACATAAATATTCAATATACTTACTATTAAAAATATATTAATTGTTGTAACTAGTTGGATCATTTGTTCAATGGCTGGGATATTTCCATTTGATGGCTATGTGTTGAACTCAAGAAGAATGTGCAACATGGACCACTGTGTTGGTTTGTTACTCATTCTGGAAAAAAAAAAAAAGGAGGGGGGTAGATAGCCCTTCTGATCATTCCTGTTATTTTACATGGAAGTGGAAACATAGAGAAGGTGAAAATCCATTGAAAATACTTAAAAATTTAATACCACTTTAGTTCTTTAATAAAATTGGTGTGTTGTCAGCCTACATAATTTACTGTCAAAGTTAATGGATTCCTCATAATTAACATAATCAGTGATGTTTGTCTGCCGGTACATTTTGTTATCAAATCAGTTGATAACTGATATGTTCCTTCATATGTTGTTTGAATGGAGCTTGATGCTTCAGCATTGAGTTGTAATTCAAGAGCAAAATCAAAACTGTTCTTAATTAAGTGACTGAAAACCTGGTAAATACAAAGCTCTGTTGCTTTACCACATATAGCTGAGTGAGGTGACTAATAGATGGAAAATATAAGGTTAGATCATTTTCTTGCCACATTATTGTGAAAACAATTATGTTTTGTCCTGTGTTATATCATAAGCAATGCTAATGTGATGTAGTGTAGAGAGGCCACCACATCTTCATTAGACATTGCAAGCGATGGCTGTGATTCTGCCGGGGAATTTCAAGAAGTTTTTTCAGTCACTTGTAGGGCTGAACCTGAAGATAATGGTTCTCCAGCCATTCACCTACAGGCTGTAATTTAGCAAAAAGCCACTTGTGGGGAAACAACAAGATGTGTATAAGGTAGCAGTGATTTTCTGAGTTTTAGGTGGGTTTTCTATTTAATCTTTCAATGGAAGATAGTTGCATCAGAGCTATTGATCTTACATCTTTACCCAGGCTTCTTGCATAAGTTCAGAGAAATAGTATGTCTGTGTTTGAATTTGACAGTCAAAGGACCATGAAATCATACATATTATTTCTTTTATAAAGTATTTCCTTCTGGAGAAGTTATGAGACTTATGAGTCACTGTTGAATTAATGAGTACTCAAATTTGAGCAGAAGGTTCTGTAAGATGAAAACTGTAAGATATACTGCTGTTGGAATAATATGAATGGGAAATGGAGATGTTCTGAAATTTAAAAAATATATTTTCGTGTCTTTCTGTGTATGTGTTTTTTTTCTTTAACAAAGGAATATTTTTTCATAAAAAAAAAAAAGAGATTTGAAAAAAAATCAAATTGACTCTTATACAATGAAACAATTCAAAAATTGGAAAAAGTTGAAATTATAAATCAATATTTTGGTTAATTTCAACATTTTTGGAAAGAGGTTGATTTTTATTGCCATGTGTCCCTTTCCCCCACCCCCACTTCAAGTGTGTTTTCTTAAAATTACAAGTAGTAATTTTCTTCCATGTATCTATTTAATGTCATGGGTTTTGGGTTTATGGATGCTATGGATGGATTATAATGACATAAATAATGTCAGTGCTTAGAAGTTCTTAAAATGGTAAAAACAATATGTGGAATAAAAATGGCTATTGTTACGTTAGCTTATTACTATTTGAAGTACATTTGCTGGTTCCTACATACATTCATTTACTCAGAATATGTTTGTTTCTATTCATATAGAGAGTCTCAGGCATGGCTCTCAGGTTCTTAGGATGTGTAGGATTGCTAATTGCCATGCCTTCAAAATACAGCTCTTTTGTTGACTATGATATTTTTTATTTTAAAGCCGTGGTATAGGTTTGGAACTGTATCCATTTAGGTATAGGATTGTGCTATGCTTTGGAACTCTATACAACATTTACAAGGCACAGTTTGTTAAGCACTTTTGGAGTTTATTTATGAATATATAAGAATTATAGCCTAATGTGCTTGGAATATGATGAGATTTATCTGTTATGGTGCTGGTACCTACATAAAGTATCTTCTCCTTTTAGGAAGTGTACACTGCTGCTCAATAATGTATTTGCAGTGACAGCCGCATTGCTGATGTCACTCTCTTTGTTGGCGGGATCATTTGAAATGCTCATATTGGGCCGCATTATAATGGGTGTCGATGCAGGTAAGCTATTATCATGCTGTACATACCTGTAATACTTGCATTACACATAAGCATTCCCTCCCCCAGCCTCTGGTGTCCACCCTAATTCTTTCCCCTTTACTTTATCAGCTCCTATAGAATATGCAATGAAAATCATTTCATTGATTAGGAGGATGTAGTCTATTTATTAAAGCTTCTTGCTCTTGTGTGTTTGGAAGTTGTTTAATCCAATGCTAATAGTGGTAGGATTAAATAGGACATTTGGAACATCATCATTCACTCCTAGCAACATTGTCTTCCCAAATTAAAAGTAAATCATGGAAGCACCTCTGCACCAGAGTAGTCTTGCACCTGGTAGTGAAGTTCTCAGCAGCTTTACAGATTTCTAAATGGTTAGAAGTACTAACCTAATATGGAGACAGACTTGATGGAATAAGGTGGTTTTATCCTCTCTGTATTTCATTGCTTAACATGAAGTTAAGCAATGGAAAGTTTTGGCTTTTGCAACACTGAGCATTTCTGGCAAACTTTGGCTATCTTGTCTATAAGTACAAACTACAGTTCTTTGAAAGTAGATGTGTATTTCACTTGCAATATGCAGTTTATGGGGAATTTTGGTGCTAGCTGCCAATTTTTGTCTCAGACCATCAGCAGATGATCAAATGTTTGGAGCTTTGTCAGTATGGTCAGTGAGCTAACCATGGTCATGAATTTGTTTATTCCTGGTTTTGAGCAGCATTCTTGCCCCTATTTTATGCCTGCTGTCAAAAGTTTGCTGTAGTTATAAGCCTGTATTTGGAGGAAAATCTGCTAATACTTTTCACAGTGAAAATGTTTCATTTGGCACTGTCTGCTCTCTGTGTCTGATATGTTGTTTTTTCTTCCTTACCTGCACCAGTGCAAACTTCATTTTGCTTCCTTTGGGGTGAACAAATTAAAAACAACAACGAAAAATCTATTCTCTTGGTGATTCTCATCTCAGTAACCTTTGCTGCTTCTCTTCAGATAGCAGCCAACACACATCACTGTAGATGTGTAACAGAGATAATCAATCCCATGGCTGTTAAATAGTGCAAAAGTAATTAGGGATGCAGACAAGGTAATTCATATTATCTGTGGATGTAATTCTGTTATTTGAAAATTTTTATGCCACTTGTGTGAGCAGATTAATACTCAGACTCCTTTCAATAGCTGTTCATTTTGTACTTGGTGTAAGCAGAAGGTGTTATGACTTAGTTTATGTTTGTCTGTTTTTTCCACCTTTCTTTTGCAGGCATTTCTCTGAGTGCCCTTCCCATGTATTTGAGTGAAATATCTCCTAAGGAAATCCGTGGTTCATTGGGTCAGGTCACAGCAATTTTCATCTGTGTTGGTGTTTTCACTGGGCAAGTTTTGGGGCTGCCAGAGATATTTGGGAAAGTAAGTATGCAACAGACATTTTCTGTGAAAGAACACAAGCATGTTTAAAGAGCAGTATTTTGGTATTTTGACAGAATTCCTTATGAAAATGGGAAGCAGAACCATTGCTTTTTTTGTTTTGAAGCACTTAAAAATGGTTTCTTCCATATCATTTAAAAGAGTGTGTGTGAGTTTGGTAGATGTTGCAATCGGTTTTAACAGCTTGAGTGGATTGTGTGTGCTTATGCATGTTTTCCCATCCCATCCCATCCCCTTTCTTTATATACATTTATTCATGCTGTTTTCCTGTTTCTTTGATTGCCATGGAAATGCTTAGGAATTTTTGTATATTTTATTTATAAGTTTTCAAAGTGAGATAGAATAGAAAAAGTCTTTTTTTGAGTTTGTACAAGAAGCTGACTCTTGCCCAATAATTATAGTGCTTTTTGTCATGCACTCGCAGGTGCAAGAGCAGAGTTAGTGTATACCTTTATGTAAAGAGAATATCTGTTTAAGGATATCTGTAGGAGGTTATCTTGCTCCCATAGGCTGAGATTAACTTGGTGGCCACTGGATGTCATCATTACTCTGAACAAATGAAGTCGAGGTTTATTCAGGCTAGCACTTGGAAATACTTTTCAACCAGAGATGAGTCTTCAAGGCAGTGCGGAGGAAGTGTCTGCAGCAATCCTCTTGCAGTGAAACTTGTACTAGGAATCCCTTCTGACAGCCAGCAAAAGTAGTAAACAGCTGAAAAGTGAGGAGAGCTTGTCCTCCCATGTCCATCTAAATTCAACTCCTTGTAAATACATGATAGCATCTTCCCTGACACTTTTATTTTTGTATGACCAGCTCTCTTTTTCTATCTTTTTATCCTTGGGCTTACTTACCTAAGGTTCTATGATTCTACGATCTTGTTAAGCTCTCCTGAAGGCAAATGTTTTGGTTCAACTTACCCTTTAGTTGAAGAACAGATTACTTCCCTCTCTCCCCTTTTAAGGCAGCAGATCTTAGGTAAAAACTTAAAATGGCTTTCACTTCATTGCATGGCTTCTGTAATGTCCCTTCTCTTGCTTTGAAAGCTAGTGCATTACAAAAGAGTGTATTAAATGTCAAGGAGCTGATTCAACTGCTTAGAATATATGTCATCTCTTAAACAGTAGATTTTTTTTTTTCTAAGCATGCACATGCTTTTAAAGGTGAGGTGTCATGTGAAAATTCTTATTTTCCTGCCAGGTCTCTGGGTTATTTTGAAAAGGATATACTTATTCCTTAGTTTCATATCACTCTTGCTCTTTTTGTTTCTGTTCTCCCCTTTCCTCTGTCTTAATTTTTGTCACTCCCAAATCATGCAGATTACAATTCTGCTTCTACAAACTGCTTTAGTATTCTGTTAGTAAATACTACACCATTAAAGTTAGACATTACTTTATATAAGAAGAAATATACTTTATCTGTGGAATTATTCATTTTCAAGATGAGTAATATCAGTATGTAAAAGGAGCACAATTTTGGCTGGCGTGAATTAGCATAGTTCCAATGAAATTATTGGAGTTGGCCTGATTTTTCCGGTTGGGTATGTGGGTGTATTTTCCTTCTAATGCATTAATAAAATTTAGCACCGAGGGAAAACCTCAGGCTGTTTGAAATGTTATTCCCTAGTGCAGTCTTAGCCCTCTTTGAAAGCTTTATCAAGATTTCTTTTGGTTTCAGTCAAGCCAGGATTTTTTTCCATAGCTTTGTGTGGTGTTCCCCATGATATCAGTGGGAGTTTTACACAAGGAACAAACCGTTGCCAGAGGAAATTGCTGCAGAGGGTACATCTGAGGAGTTCACTTCTGTTGAAATTGGAAAGAATCAAAGATAGTGTCCTCTTTGAGTTCTTTGGTTCTTGCAAGACTCTCCTCCTCCCCTTCTCAGCAAACATCTTGCCGTGATTCTGTGAAATTTCAGTTACTGTGTTTGATCATGTTTGAAAGTACATTCAAGACATTTGCTGACTACCTTCTAGATGTCAGCTTCTCACTGATTAATGTTGTGGCTTCTATAATGATGTGAAAGCTTATCAAATTGCTCCCAGAATACCCATTTTGTTCTCCTTTTTCTTCTGTTGGAGAAACCTTTGATGCAGTTGAAGTGAGGATAGTATTCCAGATCCACAGCCACCATATTTCAGAGATGGTTTCACAATCATGGTATCTTCTTAATGATTTCACTTGTAACTGAAAAGCAAACACTTCCTTTCCTCAGAATTCTGAGGCAGTTTCCATTACAACTTAAGCCAAGTAACATGATGTTCTGTGATATAATTCTACATTTGAATGGCAAGCTCCAATCTGTGGGAGCTTGTCACCAGTGATCAGCATTCTGTGCCACTGATTGCACTAGTATTTGGAAAAAACAGCTTTGATAAGTCCGTCTAGCAATGACCAAATTTTAATTATCATGGCTTAAAGCCTCACATGGAATAGTTTTCATTGCTCTGTGGTTGGTCACTTTTTTTCTTTCAGAATTGGTTGTAAATAATGGTAATGTGGATAATGTAAATAAGTTGCAAATATTCATCTTCCGTCATGATTTCATGAAAATTTTCTCCTGAGGTCTGTCATGTATTACTTCTAACTTAAGCTAATTGAAATGTTATTAATCATAGTATTTAAGCTGTGATACTTTTGAAGAAAGGAGGAACAAAGACCAAGTTGGGCATCGTGCTGGAAGAGACTGGAACAGGAAGGGACATGGGGAGAGCTGCAAGCATGGCTTTTTATAAGAGGAGATGACAAGAACTTTGCTTGCTTGGCTGAGGAAATAGAGGGAAGGGAAAAGATTTGACTGCACCTTGTTAATGCAGAAGGAAGAACTAAAGAGCGAAGAGCTGCTTAATCTGAAGGACAGTATTGCTACAAGAAGAACTGTTTATAAATGCTCTGTGAATAATTGCATGCTGAAATTCAGCAGTGATGTTTGGAACAGACTTCTGGCTGAAGTAGCTTGAGCAGAAAATTTAACTTTTAAATTGGAACTTGATGCATTTATCTGGATTATACGAGGTTGTTGCCTTCAGTGGTTCTGTAGAAGTCTTTCTACAGAAAAGGAAAGCATTTACATAGACTTTGGGGCATAGCCTTACAAGCCTTTATTAACAACCTGTTTGGTAGCTTCCTCATTTGTCGAATGCAACAGTGTTCCTTTAAATGTGGAAATGTGATTAAAAATAGCTCTGAAGCTCTGAGTATTACTTGAGGCAATTCAGAACATGCTTACTTCTTTTTGTGTCAAGTAGGTTAAGCAGCCCCAAAGTGATTTTTAGTAGTCTTTTATTTATAAAGCCTCACACAGGTGAAGCAGGAGGCGTGTGCACAGACCAAGATTTGATGCTGGGGGGCAGTGGTCAGGTTTCAGTTCTTTGGCTATGTTACTGCACTGCATGAATGCAAACCTGACAGTTTCAGAGCTCATGCAGAAAATATGTGAAGCACTGAAGTGAAAGAGTAGGAGAGCAAGTGCTCCTCCTCCTCGCCCCCCCAATCTCAGAGTCCAGTTCCCTACTTCCTAGACTAATTATGTCATAATTTCTCCTTCAGAAAAATTACCAATGTTTGTCTTAAAGGTGGTTGCTTGTTTCCTATCATTACAGCCTTCCCAAGCTTTCTACTGGAAGTGTTGATGGTTGAGAATCTAATTTAATTCTTTTATCTTTTTTGTGGCTAATTCTGTCAATTTATCCTCATTTTCTTTTGGTCTTTTTGTCACTCTGACTTTTTCACCACCTACTGAAGTGTGCTCACTTTATCCTCATCACATTACTTGTGATTTTTGTGTTTATAGAATATTCTGAGTTGGAAGTGACCCACAAGGATCAACAAGTCCAGCTCCTGGCTCTGTGCAGGACCACCCCAAAATCAGACCCTGTGTCTGACAGCATTGTCCAAACACTTCTTGAGCTGTGGCAGGCTCTGTGCCATGACCACTGCCCTGGGGAGCCTGTTCCAGTGCCCGACCACCCTCTGGCTGTAGAACCTTTCCCTAACCCCCAGCCTGACCCTCCCCTGTCCCAGCTCCATGCTGTGCCCTCGGGTCCTGTCGCTGTCCCCAGAGAGCAGAGCTCAGCGCCTGTTCCTCTGCTCCCCGCTCCCCTCGTGAGGGAACTGCAGACCGCCATGAGGCCTCCCCTCAGCCTGCTCTGCGTTGGGCTGAACAAACCAAGGGATATCAGCCACTCCTCATAGGTCTTCCCCTTTGGACCCTTCACCATCTTTGTAGCCCTCCTTTGCACACTCTCTAATAGTTTTATATCCTTAAGGTTAGTTTCAGGTTAGATCATATCTTCTAGTAAAACAGTCTCTGTAATCTCCTTCTTATCCTAGGTGTCTTCCTCTATATCAATTCTGGTTTTAAATTTAAACCCAAGCAAACAGTTACAGAGATAACTCAGATGAGATGAAATTACACTTTTTTTTTTTTTTTAAATCTAAATACTCCTTATTTCCTGATTCTTCTGGAAATGTTTTGGTTGAAATATTCTAGAAATACATCTTTTTCTGCATCATACCATATGGACAAGAACTTGCTAAACACTACTACATCCAATTTTTAAATTATAGTATAAAAGAACAGATGCAAGAAATATAATAATGATTCTAAAACTTGAATACAGCCATTCTTTTGGTTTCTGAATATATAGGCTTTTATTCTATTTGTCTCCAAAGGTACTAATTTTAGAGTACTGAGTCTGAAGAATGTGTTCCTTTAGTGTGCAATGTTTACTAAGAGTGATTATTCCAAAGCAGAAAAGCTGCAATCATGACACTGGTCCTCTGCTGCTGTGCTTTGATATTATTTCCCCTATCTTAATTCCCTCCCATTCACCCAAATCCCAACAACTCTTTTCATTAAAGGTTCTGATTCTGACACATCCTAACCTACGGGAATCCATATCTACTATGTTTCTGTTGAGGGTCGGGGAATTATGCTATGGTAAAGCTGGCTGGTGATCAGAACACAGAGCACAGCTACTTTAT